GGGGGGGCGGCGCTTGTTTTCCCCCCCCCCCAGCAGACCAGGCTTTTGTTGTGGATCCTGGGGCAGAGCAGCTGGGGCACTGCCGGTTGATCCCGCAGCACCGCTTTCGGCGCTACTGGAGCAACCCAGCAGCACCCCAGCTGCTCTGCCCCAGACGTCCCCAAGTCAGCTGTTGCTGAAACTGACCAGCGCTGACTACAAGAAGCCCGAGGCACAGTTGCTCTGCCCTGGGCTTCCTGGAACCAGCTGCTGATCAGTTTCAGCAGCGGCTGAATCTGGACGCCAGTTCCGACTTACATACAGATTCAACTTAAGAACAAACCTACAGTCCCTATCTTGTACGTAACCCGGGGACTGCCTGTATTTACATTAAAACACCAGCACTGCAGGGAAGATGCTGCCTATGCTGAAGGGAGGGTTCTACCCGAGGTGGTAGCTAGTCACTGTGAAAATTCTCTGGGGTTAGGTTGGTTTGACTGTGTTGCTCAGTGGTATGAATTTTTCCTACCCAAGAGACATAATTACAACTAACGTAATTTCCTAGTGTAGACGGGGCCTTAGAGCAGCATTGGGTGGGTTTCTCCCATCACTGTATTTAATCCATCCCCTCCCAGAGACAATGGCTAGGATGAGAGATGAATCCTCCTGCTGCTGTAGTGTTTTAATATAGACATAGCCTAGGTTGTTATCCTTCCTGCACAGGAATAGAGTGTAGTTAAAGTAGAATAATTTGTGAGCGGACAAGCCCTATTATTCTGACTAGGCTTACTTCATCCCAAGACATATTGTGCAAATCCCTTCTGAGCCCACAAGGCTTTGCTGGTACAATGAGGCATGAATAAGAGCTTTGTCTGTTTACACCAGACGAGGCCTTGGCCCAGTCAAGGACCAAAGAGGGAAAAAGCCATATAGTTCGCTGTGTTGCAGGGTGCAAAGCTGTTGCAAACTAAGTTGATCAGTAAATCTGATTCATGATTTCAAAATATCTGAATGTTTTAGACACTAAATAGCTAAATTTTAAACTAATGGTCCATAGATCAGAACAGTGGGCATTGGTTTTCAATAACACATAAAGGATTTTCAATAGGACTTGGGCTCCTAAGTCCTGCGGGCATATTTGAAAATCTCTCCCTTAGTTCTAAAGTGCACAAGTAGGATTTATAGCTCATTGCTAAAGAGATATGCTGTCAAAGAAAATTTAAAGGGGTATAATCACTCTTTAAGTGCCAACTTATAAATGAAGAACGGTGTGCAAAGGGAACCTTTCGCAATCAGATATCTTTGTCAAGGAGCACAATAGCTAGAGATGAAAGATGTTTTAGATCTTCAAGTCCATCCTATAGCCTACAGGTTATAATTCTCCAACAGAGGATGAATCAGATATTAATTGCATAGAACTTTTGGTCTAAAAGGCAGAGAATTAGTTTAATATTTCAAACATCTCCACTGGATTTTAATTCAGGCAATATATTGGACTTTGGAGTGTATTAAACCCACATTTTCATTTATGCAAAAATATAGTGTGTGCAGTATTTCTGCAGAGGCAGGAGTTTGTATTCATGAAGTTACCTGCAAAATCCGTTTCTGCCACCTATATCGTTTGTATTTGTAGACACTGAAGTTGAACTGTGAACCAGTCAGCCAGTCCTGTGAATCCTGGAAAACATTATTGATATTAACTAAAACCTTACATTATTTCAATGCACGTTAATGTGAAAATCATGAAGACTCTCCAGATAAGTCCCCCTCTGCATAGTATGTCACTTGTGCCAGAGGCTTTGTCAGGACCTTTGCACTGGGAAGAATTATACCACCATAAGGGCTAAATCTTCACACGTGCCAAGCATTCACAAATCCTAATGAAGTGACAAGAGCTAAACATCATATCACGAGAGGTAGAAGAAGTGAGCAAGGGAGGGAAAGAAACGGAATTGAGAACAGGTCATAAAGTGGAAAGGGAGACCACAGAATTCTACTAAATGCATTTAAAACCACATAAATGTGTAGCCAGCCTCTTAATCAAACTAGCAAACAAAAGGGGCATCAACCTTCATAGGAGGACAAATTCATCATCAGACCACTGAACAGGATGAAGTAGAACTACTAGAGCAGTGTTTCTCAAACTGTGCTCCGCGGAGCCCCAGGGCTCAACGAGACATCTCCAGGGGCTCCGTGAGGTTGACAAACTGGAAACATCGATAGGTACAACACATACAATCAGTGGACCACTAAGTCTCCGCATAAATTTTTACGCATGTAAAGGGCTCCAGAGCCCAAAAAGTTTGAGTACCGCTGTACTAGAGAAATAGCATTTGCCACCGCCCACTGATGCTGGGGTGCACAATTTACCACCTGGCCTGTAAACTTAGCTATTGCCCTTTCACATGTACAGCAACTGATTTTATTCTGTATTTGTGCTCCAAAGGGGTGAGGCTATAGCTGTGTAAATTTTGATTTACCTCTTAGTTTAATTATCACAGACTATAGAACTGTGGGCAGTACCAAAGAAACCACTTATTATGAGTTATTTCTAGAACACATAATCTAGATAAATATCCTGTTAGAGATAATATAGAATAATAGAGGGGGATTTCCTCTGCAACACAAACTTCTCCTTTGTACTAGCTCACATCAACGCAACCTCTTTAGTGCTATAAAATTAAGGAGATGCATTAGCCCAGCCTGAAATTTTTGCTACAGTCATCCTTACAGCTCTCTTATCTCGTATCTCTACAGCTATAAAGTCTAAAACGGGAGTTTCTATAGTGGTTATACCCCTCTCAAAGACCCCCCCCCCCTTCTGAGGGAATCCCCAGAAAGTAGACCCATTGCATTTGCTATGCACTTCCAGAATGGCACAAAGCAGCTGGAATGGAGCCAAGATCTGGCCCAGCATATATGAGTGTTAGACACAAAAACAGTTTGAAATTATTGCAGAATATATTTTAAAAGTGAGAGGTCTTACCATTGGGAACACCAAATTCATTGCTTCCTTTTCTGCATGTGCCAAATCCAAAGCTTCTTCAATGTTCAGTTCTTTGTTTTTCACCATGTTCATAATTTTCAGGATTTTTTCCTGGCTTAGCTAGAACACAAACCAATCAGAAATACTTTTAAGAAGTGAGTCTCACTGAGCTAGGAAGGCTGTAACTGTTACACCTACAATATCTGCCATGAAATTTCAATTTCATTCATATTTTGTTTTATTAACAATATGGCTGATGAATATAAGCTCTTATTGACGCAACGTGTGAGCCAATAAGATATCAAATATACAAGAGTGTGTACAATTTCAGAATACAAGGTTGGTAGTATCTGGTGCTGAAATTGTTGGGAGGAATTTTTTTTTAAACTTAGAAAAATTAGCAGGAGACTATTCATTTTATATGCATGCTTGTGTCTTAGAATATTGCATATTAACTAACAGTGTGAAAGCAAATCAGTATCATCAGAAATTTGTGGGGAGAATGGGGAGGAAAAAGTTTGAATTGTATATCACCAGGTCTAACTGTCACTGAAACTTGTCAAAATATGTTAACCTCAAAGCACTATGCTTATTTCAGTTGTATATAAACACAAGGGCTATGTCTACACTGGTGTGATCTTGCGCCACAAGATCGCACAAGTTATTCCTGAAAATAATCAGCGTAACAGCATTGCACAAGAGGGTTTTTCTTGTACAAGAAGGGGCAGTGTAGACAGCTCCTTCTTGCGCAAGAGCCTCTTCCACAAAAATAGCAGCTCATTAGGTATGCAAATGAGGCTTGGCGATATTCCACGCTTAGCCTTATTTGCATAGCTCTGACTCAAGATCGCGCCAGTGTAGACATAGCCCTAGTGACATTGTTAGTAAATCTAAACAACAATGCTTTTAAATTAGGCTAAAATCCAGAGAGTTTTTTGGCCTCGGTCGTCTGGGCGGCCGAGAAACACTCTGGCACCCAGATTAAGCCTACTGCACTCTGAGGAGGAGAAGTACGTGTGTCCAGTTCCACTGTCCCATATACGGACTAGCTAATCTATTATTCCTTCCTCAGATCTTCTGGTAAATTCTGCCTGTATTTCCCATAGCTCTGCGGGCTTATAGGACCGTGTGGTCTTTTGGGTTTGGCCCCTTTTCTTTTTCTTATCAATTTTAATCTCGTGATTTTTACTTGATTCGGCCAAGAGGTGGCCGGATCCTTCATTCTGAGTGGCACCGTTTCCCCCGTCAAGATCTGGGCTGCGCTGACCAGAGCTACTGGGCTGGCAGATCTCCTCCTGACTATCTGAGTCTCCATCCTCATCTGATATTTTAAAGGTGACAACTGGTCTCATTTGAACTGGGGTTGCTTTCCTTTCGTTAGGCGAATAGGAAACTGATTCTCCATCAGAGGAATTCCAGATGTCTCTGTCCCAATCATCTGGATCTAACCACAGAGCAGTTTTTACTTTGGCTCTATTAATGCTTCGTGGCTTAGCTTCTAACCTCTCTCTACGTGCAATCTCTTCTTTTTCTAACATTGGGAGGAGCCGCCCCTGTAGGTGCTGCATGTCTTTACTTAATGTCCGCACCCAGGTATCTAAGTTTTGACATTGTTTCCTCAGTTCTGCCTTCTCCTTTTTAACCCTTATTAGCTCAGTTTTCCTTTAACAGCCAGATGCAAGGGCCTTTCCCTTTTCCCTTTTTGATCTTACAAGCGGCTCGCCAGTTACAAGACTGTTCCCAGATCTCCTTTGATTGTCCCCAATTTTTTTCTAACATCTCTTTGTCCCATTTAAGGTTACCCCATCCCTCTCGGGCAAACTCTTTCTCTATACAGCTAAAATCCATGTCAATCGTTACTGGCTTCATGCTGCTATATTTGAACCAATAGCACAATCCTGCCGACTACGCCAGTTCTGTCAGCCAACTCTCAGGGCAGTGTGTGTGTGTTACACCCAAGTCTTCAACTGCTGAGACGCAAGGACCCATCGCAGCGGGCAGCATAGGAGGCTGAAGGGCACCCCAAGAAGTTTAACGTCCGTGTCTTTACCGCTAGGACCGGGATCCTGTCACGGAGGGCAGTGTGAGCTGGAAGATTACCAGGGTGTCTGACGTGGTGCGGCAGTATGGGTCACCCCTCACACACTCACCGCAGGGGTAGGAGCCAGAGCCACTTGGCAACCTGCTCCATTCTGCCCAGTAACCATGCTGTGTTTCATTAGGCTGGGGAAGAAGGGCCACGCTGTTTTCTGTATTGATATGCTGGTTCTCTCTGGTAGGGAGATCCTGGCGTCAAAGGTGACAAGGGCCCACAGGGAGAGAAAGGCCTGCCTGGGGATCCTGGCATACCTGGCCATAAAGGCCACACTGGATTGATGGGTCCCCAGGGACCTCCAGGCGACAGTGGACAAGCTGGCCCACCAGGACCTCCAGGACAGCCAGGCTTCCCCGGACCCAGGGTAAGAATGGTGGTTGTGAGCTTCCAGAGAATTGTATAGAAACACTCCCTTAATGACATGACCACAGCCCAACGTTGTTGCGGAGCGACCTGTGTGGAGTCGCAGTTTACTCTGCAGTGCTATCAGCACGTTCTTCCTCTGTTAGGTACGCATGGAGCGTATGTGCAGTAGGGCTCCCCTCTCTCGCTCTGAATCCCCTGCACACAATGAAGGAATGCTGCACCTGCTGGCAATCTCCCGCTAAACCATGTTGGAATTAAGTGGCCACCACTAACCTGAGTGTTTGTCAACCAAGGCAGGAAACTGAGATCTAGACGAAAATACTAGGTGGGCGTCCCCGTGGAACCTCGGGAGGTCAAACACCTAACCTGACCAGCAGGTAGAGGGTAGAATGACACTCAAAGTGAGTGTGTGCTGGGCCCATCTTTTATACTCATGGGGTCACGTATTTCTTTCTTATCTGTCATGCCAAATGGGGCTGGTCTGTCTTTTGTGAGACCAGTTCTTACAAGGGAGTTGTGAACTTAATTTACACTTGTAAGAGAGAATTGAGATGATTAAATTGGAAGTACTGGACATTGTTTTCTCAGTGGGAAATTCCCCTCCCAGGGACTGTGTGTGTGTTCGAATCAACATAGGTGCCAGCCTCAGCCTCGAGGCCAGCTTATTGACTTAGCTTCTTTCTCATATCTATGTTTTCAGCTTACCCAGGGTCAGATGAGCCAGCATATCCTGGTCTCGCATCGAAGCTTCAAAGGCTATGCTGATTTTTTATGCTTCTTCTCTGCCCTGTAGACAGGCACCTCAGAGGGGCAAGCGAGATTGATGTGACGGGGGGGCCTGTCTGGCTACAGTGAGGGCTTTACTATTTCCAAAGCAAGGCAAAAAGGGAAATTGGAGTTAACAGGCTCCTTGAACAACAAAGCCTATGTTGTTAGCAAAGCACTTGCACGGACTTTATTTCTCTTTATAGCAGCATGTATAACTGCTATGTCAGTTCAGACCAGTGGCTGATTTGGTCCAGTATCCTATCCATTTAGGCATTGCTCTGCTCAGCATTTCAAGGCCTAACTAGGCCTTGCAACACTGAGGGTACGTTTAGACTACATGGCTCCATCGATGGAGCCATGTAAAATAGTTTACTCAGCACAGTCAAAGAAGTGGGGATTTAAATAATCTCCGCTTCATTCAAATAAAAATAGCTCCCGTGCTGTGCCTATAATCAGCTGATCTGGCACAGCGCAGCAATCTAGATGCGGCGCGGTCGACAAGGGAAGCTTCTGGTATGCTTCGGCCATGTCGACGGAGTGATGTAGTCTAGACGTACCCCGAGGGTATGGCTACATTGGAGGAGGGCGGTTTCAAAGAAAGTATGCAAATTGCACTTGCATTTACATATCTTCTTCTGGTTTTTTTCCAGAAGAGGATTTTCCAATATTTGGCCTGCCTACATGGGGCCAAATGACGGGAAAATAACCTCTTTCAGAAGCCCCCTTATTCCTCATAAAACGAGGTGTACAGGAGGCTTCTGAAAGAGGGTTTTTTTTCCTGACATTTGGCCCCGTGTAGATGGGCCAAATTTTGGAAAATCCTCTTCTGGAAAAAAACCAGAAGAAGATATGTAAATGCAAGTGCAATTTGCATACCTTCTTCGAAATCCCCCCCCCCCACACACACACACAAATACACAGTGTAGCTGTACCCTGAGCAATGTCTCATTATCATTTAAAATCTGGGCTTCCATGATTAGTCTAATGGTCAAGCTAACAAGTACAAGGGTGCCCCAGGAGAGATCAATTTAGACTTGAGCAATGTGGGCCAGTAGTTTGCCCCACTCCGCACACACACACCCTACTCTACCCCACACACACCTAATGTGAACAGAACATTTTTCAAAGAAAACCTATTTTCCTTTTCAATTAAAGCATGTTCTTGACACGCCAGAAACTCAAACATAAAGACATTATGCTACAGCAGGCAGCTCAGGAGTTAAAACTCATAGACTTTAAGGTCAGAAGGGACCATTATGATCATCTAGTCTGACCCCCTGCACAGTGCAGGCCACAAAATCTCACCCACCCCTCCTAGAATAATCCTCTCACCTATATCTCAGATATTGAAGCCTTCAAATACTTTGAAGACCCCAAGATGCAGAGAATCCTCCAGTTGTGATTTGTACCCCATGCTACAGAGGAAGGCGAAAAACCTCCAGGGCCTCTGCCAATCTACCCTGGAGGAAAATTCCTTCCCGACCCCAAATATGGCGATCAGCTAAACCCTGAGCATGTGGGCAAGACTCATCAGCCAGACACCCAGAAAGTTCTCTATAGTAACTCCTATCATCCCTCCATTGACCTATTTCCCACTGATAATGAATGGTCAATTAGTTGCCAAGATCATGTTATCTCATCAAACCATCCCCTTCATAAACCCATCTAGTTTAATCTTGAAACCAGATAGATCTTTTGCCCCCACTACTTCTCTTGGAAGGCCGTTCCAGAACTTCACTCCTCTAATGGTTAGAAACCTTCGTCTAATCTCAAGTCTAAACTTCCTACTAGCCAGCTTATATCCATTTGTTCTTGTGTCCACATTGGTATTAAACTTAAATCATTCCTCTCCCTCCCTGGTATTTATCTCTCTAATATAACTGATCAGCTC